GATCTAGATGTCCTAAAGAAAACATTTTCATCAGAGGGAAGAAACTCAAAATGTGTCATATTGTGATATATATGTATATGTATATGCATGTATATGTATATGTATATGTATATGTATATGTATATGTGTATGTATATGTATATGTATATGTATATGTATATGTATATGTATATGTATATGTATATGTATATGTATATATATATATATATATATATATATATATATATATATATATATATATATATATATATATATATATAAGTAAATTATCATTTAGGGAAAATTTGTTAGAATTATGTTAGAATTCTTGGCACTACCATTAATTTTTTTCTTAGTCTTATTTTTGTAATTTATGGGTTATTTTAATCTGGTTTTCCATTTACTTTATCTTATATTATGTTCATCATTATGTACATAGGTTAAGATTACTGACAAAAAGTATTTATTCTTTTCTAAGAAGAAAATAAAAATATCTTTACCTATGAGGTCCTAATATTGTCTCGTGCTCGCCTGTGTTGCCTTCAAATTTCCTCTCTATTGTTCTAACATTCTATTTGTTAGACTATAGTTATTGCTAATAAAAGGGAGTTTCATACATTAAAACCCTATTCGTTGTATATGGTGAACACGTTGCATATGTACATGAATGTAAATAACAATAAAATCTAGCCTACTTAGCGTTATTTTCACCGTGTTCGCTGTCGACTGCCGCAGACTGTCGTGGGGTTACTAGAAACAAAATACAAATCTTCAGCAATGAGCTTATTTAGGTTTATATTTTCAATTGCAAATGATTGAAAGGCCGATTATAAGAGTGCGTATCAAATACTTTATCAGGAAAATGTTGAAATTAGGCGTCTTGAGTCTTTTATTAATTGAGAGCATAAGATATAAATATATATATTTTAAATTTTTGTAGTGTCTAAATGGTTTGTTTAATTGGAACTATAAAAAAATAATAATCAAACCGTACGAGTGACCGTTGAGATCAATCCACACACTGCGATTGGTTAGCCGACGGTGTTTTAAACACGTTGTGTGACGTTCTGCACGATGATTGGCTGCCAAAATCTGAACGAACGCTGTGATTGGAGGAGATCTGGAACCCTGAACCCAGTCCCTGACACTTTCGTAGATGGTACAACTATCTCTGTTAAGTTCTTTTACTTGTTTCGCCTTTTGGGACGAAAAAGCTGGTTGCACTTGGAGTGAGAGTGCCAGGCCCATTGCATCTGACGACACCACGATTGATTACATAATTGTACATCGCATGTATATTTATTTATTTTGATTAAATTATGTATTTAAAATTGAATCAGGAAATCATCCTCCCACTCGAATCCTAAAGTGTAACCGGGAAGCCAAGTCTTAAAACGGCGGGAAAAAACTTTTTTTTCCTCCATAGGACTAAGAAGAAGAAAAAATGTGTGTATGATTTAGCGACCTTAGAAAATTAATTAAAGAAATGGTATTGACTCTCCTTCTAATGAAAGCTGAAGTAATTTAAATGGAATTACTGCGAAAAGCTCAAAAATACGTTCGTTCATTTGTCAGTTTAGACTATCTGTACAAGTCGCTAATTCGCTACACAATATATTTTTTTCTTCACAATGTATATTTCAATTTTTTCCCCTCTCAGTTTCCCCCTTTCTCTTGTAATAGGTTTTATGATGAATATTATTATGTATCGTATCATATAGAGATTTCAATTACTTTTAGTTGCTATGCAGTATTTTATATTTGGGGACGAAATGCGCAATATTGGCACTTGGTTTGGATTCATCAAAGGCGAATAAGAAAGAAAAAAAAGTGTTCAGTCCTTTTATAACGAATTCAAACCTAAGTCCCAAAATGTCTGCTGTTGTGACGGACGTATAAAGATGCAATACTTGTGTAATACTTTTTAAACTCCCGTGTTTTTTCCCTTTCCATTTCTGTCTTTTGTTATTGTTACCTGCATCCATTAAGCATCATGACTGTTCATCTAACCATCACATTCTGTCTGCTCCATCGTTCCCTGAAATTAAAGAGAGAGAGAGAGAGAGAGAGAGAGAGAGAGAGAGAGAGAGAGAGAGAGAGAGAGAGAGAGAGAGAGAGAGAGAAGAGAGAGAGAGAGAGAGAGAGAGAGAGAGAGAGAGAGAGAGAGAGAGAGAGAGAGAGAGAGAGAGAGAGAGAGACTGCGTTAGAATTGCTTCCCAGCGTCAGAAGCAGAAGGCAAGTGGGTGTCGCTGAGTCTCTGGAGTGTGTGGCCAAAAGCCTCCCGGAATGTCGGTCATAATCCCCTCAGAGTCGTGCCTTTTGACCTCCGCTGTGAAGAGCGTCCGTCGCCCTCTTCCCACAGAAAACGATGACGTTTATTGAAATTCTGCGTCCGACCGAGAGATGGCCTTTGCTTCCCGTTGCTCTGGGCGAGACTAGTGCCATCTCTTGATTGATGCCAGAACTGCAGAGAGCTCGACGGTTCCCATTAAGACTGCCTTTTGAGGGTGTCACTTTTGGC